ATATGTATCATCTTTCAGATATATCATCCGTTGTCACTGCCATTGTTAAGGAATTAGAACGTGTATTTACAACAACCTCCTAAAGCTGCATATAGCCCGAATAAGAATTAAACAATATTGAATAGGATCATGCAGTACCTGTAGGACTTTTAAGTCTTGATGTCATTTAGAGAAAAGAAAATATTCTTTGCTCTTACTGTCACTAATCAGAATAACTCGCCGTTCTTTTAATTTATCTACACTCTGTAGAACTACTAAGGTCTAGAATCAATAACTCCTTCATATATTGGGTAACTAGAATAAGTTTTTCTGTCAACCTGAATATCCAAGCCATAAAATTTAAATTTTTTTATTTTGTACATCTTACCCAAATTTTGAAAGGTTAGGATCTCGTTTAGGCCCAGCTAACACATAGCGTTGCCAAGCCTTTCGGCGATGTTGCTTTAAGCGAACCTAGTAACATTACTATTCAAAGTAAATGCAAAATTCATGGGAAGTTGTTGAGGGAAATTAAAACCTCGCAAAACTTCTTTAAAAATATACACGGGAAGTACTGTAAAGAAGAAAATTTGAGAGAAATCACAGATGATGCTCTCTAGTATCTGTCTGTAACGTGTTGAGGGTGGGTTACTCCTACGACACTTAGGCCTCATTAGGCCCATTGTGCATCCTCCTAATATGATAGGCAACTCCTAGCTCGTGAGCCAGCTTACAGATTCAGTATAGTTGACAACGTCGCCAAGAGGTGTTTTTCTTATATCGGCCGGTGTTAGCCGATACTCGCCAAACACAAATCTTCTAATGGCAAAGGATATGCTCGATGGTCTCATCTTCTTGTTCGCACCCTCTGCAAAGTGCGGATTCTGACAGCCCCATGATATGGAGATGCTGCCGTACTTGGCAATGACCAGTCAGAATGCCTGTGACTAGGCACAGATTCTGTCTAGTCATAGTCAAGTATTTGTTTGCTGCAGTGTTGGCAGGATAACATACGAGCTCCCTGGCAACTCTGCAGTTTCTTGTTTCATCCCATCTTTCCTTGAATTTCACAAGGGAATGTTCTTTAATTAGGTCTGTCACTACCGATTTTGTCAGGCCAATAGAAGGGCCAGGTCTAAAAAGTATTTGGTTGGCTACTTTCTTGGCTAGTAAATCAGCAAGACGGTTACCTTTCAAAGTGGCTCTTGAGTATATAGCAGCGAGTATCTTGCTATAAAATATTAATAGATTTTTATAAGATCTGCATACCTAACTTGGAAATCCATAATCAAGCATAAAATTTGTAAAATTCAAAGAAATTTCGATACAAACATTGGTTGTTTTACTTAAAACAACAAAGTAAGACAAAAGTGCATTTAAACTTGAGAATATTTTTAAATTTTTATATCATTTTCTTTAATAATAGTAAACAAGTAGGTCAATATCTTTTTCCTACGACCACTTAGGAAAGTGACACATATCACACTATATAGACCTATGGAAAGTGCCCTATATCACACGCGTATGAATAAGAATTTACTTTCCACCCAAGTGAGAATATGCTACTTTCCGCAGTAGCTGTCAGAAAATGTCAAACACATAATTTCTATTTTGATCTATGTAATGTCCATATTAATACTAAAATCGATATGATTGTTAAATTATTGTAAATTAGATCCTAGATATTTATCTTTAACAATTATTTTTAAAATAATTTTAAAATAACTAAGATATATTTGCTTTTTATTCTGGTTAAACACATAAGCGATTAGATCAATCAATTACCGTAAGGCCTGTTAGCTCAGTTGGTTAGAGCATCAACTTTGCAATTTGAGACCGTCCAACGACCGCGATCGAATCCTGGCTGTGCCAGATTTTTTTTTTTATTTTTTTTTTATTTTTTTTTTTATTTTTTTTTTTATTTTTTTTTATTTGTTTAGAAATTATGAAAATTTAATAAATACGATTATTGTTGATTATTTTTTTAAATACATTTTAATTATTATAATAATCTGGTTTTACATTTTTTGATGAAATTATTTTGTGGTCGTAGGAAAAATATTGTACATCACTTGTGTGAAAAGTGATTTTCCACACTCGTGTGATAGTCGCACTCGGCTTACGCCTCGTGCGACAATATTTCCCACTCGTGTGAAAAATGTCACTTTCCACACTCGTAATGTAATATACTATTTTATTTAATATGTTGTAGAAAAGTAAAATCTTTTTGTACAAAAATATAATTTATCCTCTACCACTAAATTGTCATATATTTATGTTACATTATAGCATAAATAAAAATATTTCCAAGCCACCTTCGCATAAATCTACAGGTAAGAAATCAGTATAATATGTATCTAGTCATTATTGCAGTCATTAATTTTTATTCACTGATCTAGCTTTAGCATCGTACAATTGTCATGTTGGTAAAATATCTTGTGGACCTTTAAAACATACCTTATATAAATATACTTTTGTACAATCGTTCACCATTTAAGCTTTTAGTGAACCTTTGCAATATTGGTACCTTATTATTTAGCTAATTTTGTTCAATCGTTCAGTGCTTTATAAGGTAGCTTCTACTATATCGCACATGTGTAGTTGCGTTTGTGATATACCTACCTCTACTTTTGTGATATTGGTACTTGATTTCAAAAATATTTTAATAATAAATTTATATAAATATTTTGTTTTATTTGAAATTGTCATGTCTCGATTGAGATTTTACTAAAACCTTAATTTCAGCCTCTCAATATTACATTACACAAAGAATAATGTACTGTCTCCATGGATGGACTTAATTATACTAATAAAATTATTTATTTTAAATTAAAAAAAGTTATTTTTTATAATTTCTCAATGTGAATCGTATTTATTAAACCAGCAACAGAAATTATGAAGAATTTTTTAATTTAAAATAAATATTTTCACAAGTATAATTAAGTCCATCCGTGGACACACTGTATAATGCTGTATAACTAATTCACATTATAACATCTATAGAACGTTTAAGAGCAACTTTCGGTGTAAGTACCGTAAAAGTGCTAATGTGATGTTTTTCAAACTTCACTTTGTAACCTCTGCGAGATATGCTATGAAAGTCTTGCCGTTGCGGACTTTCGGCGGTTGCAGGGATATTAGGGTTACATTAAAAGTACATTGCATGCGAGCTGAAAGAGCTTAAAATTGAAGCTTATTAACGTAGATGGGATGTTTTTGTGCTAGCTGAGGGACATATAATATTCCCCATACAAATGGTAATACAAAAGTTAGAAGGATAATAAGCGTATACGCATACAGACATGGATCACTAGGTTCGGTAATCGTGTTTTAATAATCAAGATCTTGAGGTAGTTTCTAATAGCAATGAATCAGTGTAACTGATTCAACTAGCCTTTCAGAATGAATCACACAGGGTATTTAAAAAAAGATCTTTTCAATTTTTCTTCCTCTTTACTATTACATGTTATTAAAATTCTACGATATCTTCCGCATACTTGAATACATCTGAAAATAATTTTATTTTGATTTTCTATAAAAAAAAACAAGAATAAAAATAATCACTAATGATCCACAATTTCTTATAGTTGAAAACGGTATAACTTTTTCTTGATTGTGGCCTTGATACCCAGACAAGCATAGTCAAATGAAAATACGGTTTTGGTTAGTTTTTTGTTTAAAATGAATTACAGATTTTCGATTAAATTTTTTTTTCAAACCTTTGATTACTTGATTAATGTAAGTTTCTCTAATTCAAAAATTAAAAAAAAGTTTGGAATGCAGATAGGTAATTTTTTAAAGTGTAATAAACATTTAGTGATATATTTTTGCAGAAGAATTCTGTGTAAGGATTGCAGTTTCTGACGAAACAATATTCAATTTCAGTGGGTTACTGTTCTAACCTATCATTTTATAAATTTTAATTATATTTCTTCAATTTTCAACACCAAAACTACAATTTTATTTTAATATGTATTTACTAAATTTTACTGATCAATGTAATAATCTGATTGCTATATTTACTTTTAAAAATAGATGAAAAATATAAAACACATTGACAGGGTATATTTTTTTCAGAGCTATTGAACTGTGACTGATAAAAGGTATCTGTACAATTTGTAAAAAAAATAACAAAATAAAGAAAAATTACGTTACAGTAGGTAATATAGTTCAAGTAAATTAGTGATATATGAAAACAAAAAATAACTGGAACCAAACTAGAATCTTGTACACGACAAAAAATAGGTGCTTAAAAGTAATAATAACAGTAGCTGCTGGCATAGTTTGGCCTTTTAATGACCCAATAAAAATTTGCAATACACAAAAGTAAGGGAAGATCCAGAAACATATGGAATAAAGTAATCGCTACAAAACTTCTTAAAATTAAAAAGTTTAGTCTTTATTGCAAGTAAGAAGTAAGATTTAATAGAAAAATTTTGAATGTATTGATAAACTTTTTTGTTACACTCTGATAAAAAATTAGAAATGATTAACTCATAAATCAATTTTGTTTAGTAAATTATTAATTCAAGTAAATTATTCATCTTTTTTTAAAAGACTTAACTGTACAATTTATTAATAAACATGGCCTAATTACTTGCAGGCAGTACATTTAGAACGACATTTTATTAGATAAGTAGTTTTAAAATTACGTAACACATTCAATGCATATAATTTTCATTTCGAAATTTAAAAAACAATCGAAACTTTCATCATATCTGCCATAAAGTAATGCTTTGTCAAAATAATGACTATGTAAATAACCCTTCGTTTTTCTAACCCAAAAATATATATAAAACATATTGAAATATATGTTTAAGTAATATGTAAAACAGTTTTATTGAGCAAGAATGTTGGAACAAAATGTATGTTATAGTTATTAAATTTTGACACTTTTAACTCAAAGTTGGGTTTCTGCCTCGACCCAGCGTTGACATCATATCATTTTCTTAGGAATGCGGCCTGCTACATAAGCAAAACAACCATATTTCTCAAGAAATTACTACAAATGACAATCTTACCTTTCAAAATTTGCTAATATTCCAAAAATTGCACTGTTTTCTTGAACATGAACAAATATCACATTTTGTTTTAGAATTTCACAGTGAAAAATAAACACTGAACACTTTAAACTCAGGTTACTGAACACTCTACACTCTACTGGTAGGTCGACTTGAAAGGTGAGGTAAGGTGCGTCCCGTTAGGTTGGTATGCGGAAGGTGTGGATAATCTGCTCTGGATGGGCATAAACATAATCTTATGTTTATACCAAAAACGATTGTGAAAGTTGTCGAATTTTGGTTTGTACCAATTTTTTGTTTAATGGGGTTTCTTAATTTTTAACTATACAATAGTAACGTGATTGAAAGATAGTTCATGCACAGCTTAAAGTGGACCCTAGAGATTTTAAATTGGGAGGAATATTACTTGGGTACTCTAGGGATCTGTATCTTTAACGTGTGGAGGGTGGGTTATCCCCCCCCCACAGTACTTAGGCCTCACTAGACCCATTGTGCATCCTCCTAAAACGATAGGCACCTCCTAGCTCGTGAGCCAGCCTACAGATTTATTGTAGTTGACAACGTCGCTAAGAGGTGCTTCTCTTTATATTGGCCGGTGTTAGCCGATACTCGTCGAACATAAATCTCCCAATAAATGAGAGCGTCAAGCTATCGTAGATGATATGCTCGATGGTCTCATCTTCTTGTTCACACCCTCTGCAGAGTATGGATTCTGACAGCCCTATGATATGGAGATGCTTCCGTACTTGGCAATGACCAGTCAGAATGCCTGTGACTAGTCGCAGATTCTGTCTAGTCATAGTCAAGTATTTGTTTGCTGCACACTTAACTTAAAAGCTCCCTGGCAACTCTGCAGTTTCTTGTTTTATCCCATCTTTTCTTGACTTTTACAAGAGATTATTCTTTACTTAGGTCTGTCACTACTGATTTTGTCAGGCTAATAGAAGGGCTAGGTCCAAAAAGTATTTGGTTGGCTGCTTTCTTGGCTCGTGAATCAGCAAGACGGTTACCTTTTGATGTGGCGTGACCTTTGATCCATCTTAAGATGACCACGTTGTTGATGGATACTTCGTCCAAATCTTCGTGACATTCTAACACTAACCCTAAATAAATTCGTGGTCTGTTCAGGGTGAGTAGTGCTTGTCTGCTATCTGTATAGATGAGCATGTTCCTTCCAGTCATATCACAATACTTTAGGGATACAAGAAGAAGATAGTTTTGGAAATTCCATCCCAGAAGGGGTGAAAAGAGGTTTTAAGGTTTGAATGAAGAAATTAGATCCAATTTAACCAGGAATTTTTAAAATACAGGAAAAGCAATTGAATTGTTTTGTCAATGGGTTATTTTGACATCGTAGAATGATCAAGTTATCTTTATCAATGAGGAGTTGCTAAAGTCATTTGATAGACACGCGCGTGGCGCCACGCCATGAAGTTGAATTTTTAAATTCAATTAATCCATCGAATCTTACGTACCATAGAATTAGTCTTAAAAAGCACACTAATGTCACCGATAATGCTTTTGCAGAACCTTATCCACCAACACTATCAAAATGTAATAGAAGCCGTTATTTTGACCTTTGACAGGAATTCCTTTAATATCCAACGATTTTCCATAGGATGTTAAAAGGCTACATGTGGAATTACGATGCTCTTCGTTTAACAAATATCTGGATAGAGTATTTTACCACTTTTATTTTTAAACATTTTCAATTCATTTAAATTATATAAATCTATGGTTACAACATACATCAACTATATAACAACTATTTTATTTTAACTAACTATATATTACAACTAAGTCTAACTCGCTACATTACAATTCGCCATAAAATTAAGTTTCGTAATGACAGTATAAATCTTTAAAAAAAATCAATATTTAATTACCTAATTGTCTCCTTATGTGTACGAAGTCGCAGGAAAAAGCTAGTTTTCTCGAATATCAATTTAAAAACTTGTAAATATAAAAAACACAACGTAGCCCTAGTTGTATTGTAGACAGAAAAGCTAAGAATATAAAACGTATGGTCCGGGTAAAATCCCTATGGAGACACCTAAGAAAGTGGAAAGAATTTCCCTCAATATACTGCTCTGTATTTGTAACCAGCACAAAAATTCCCAAAGTAGTGGAATAAAGCAAAACTAGTTCCCATCCAGAAACCGGAAAAACCGTTATTCTATATCCTACATCCCACATCCTACAGACCCATCTACCTCCTAAATTCACAGTAAAGTGTATGAAGGATGGATCAATGAGAGATAGAAAAAATTTAAGAGAAATACGAGGTTAATAGTTAGCAATGATAACGGTGTATATCAGAAACGCCTTTTACACAGTGTCGTGGGACCTTATAACAGAGGATCTAAGAAAAAGAAGAGTACCGGCGTATCTCCAAAATGTAGTGGAAAACTACCTTGCAAAATATTAGTTGACAGAAAACCGATAATAGTAATAACTCGAGTCCCACAGAGGTCGGTATTGAAACCCTCGCTGTGGAACATTCTTTACAACTGGGACACAGATCATCGGGTTTGTTAGAATATTTGGCACTACTAGTAGGGTGCAGAGATTGAAAACATAGGACAAAACTAGCGTTAAAACGAATAACTAACTAGGTTGAAGAACATAAGTTAGAGTTAGTATCGGAAAAGACAGAAGAGGTAATTTTAATAGATCCTTTTCTGCTTAAGGAAATAAACCTGCAGCCTTAAAGGAAATTAAAGTATCTTGCGTTAGTACTGGATGATACTGGAAGTTTCGGCCAACATACGGAAATGGCAATGAATAAAGCGGAGACCAGAGTGGGATCCTTGTCTTGATTGATGAGAAACAGTAAGAAATAAGTGCTCTCAAGCGGGGTAATACATTCTACCCTACTCTATGGAGCACCCTTATAGAAACGAGTCGGAATCTATAAGAAACGGATGGAGAAGACGCAAAGAAAGACCGCATTAAGTGTCGGCAGTGCTTAAAGAACGACATTGTTGAAGGCGATACAGGTTATCACTAGCACAGTGCCAATAAATTTGAAGGTTAAATAATGAGGGCCACAAAATAATAATTTCGAGAAAAATTGGTTTTAAAATTAAAAACCCTATATGTTTTAAAAGGTTCACTCTTTAAATTTTTACAATTTTTTTGAATGTATCTATGGATATTTGGTATTAGGTTAAATATTTACAATTAATAATTATTGGTAATTGACGTACAGAGAATATCTAAAAAGGGGTTAAGTACATAAATTCAAGTGAAAAAAGATAAAGATTCACAAATGGTCACACTAAACGGTCGGTAAAGTTTCAAAATATACTTGAGCTTCTACATACTGCAAAAGCCCTTTAAATCCTGCAGGTTTTGGTACTTCTTAGTAGTAACAGGATTTACATGGTCATATTTATGATCTGGGAGTTCAATTTGTCCAGGAGGTAGGTCGGATAATATAGGAATTACAGTCCGGTTGGCAAGTTTTTGCCTTGTTTTCGTTGTTCTTGATGGCATGACTTTCCTTGATGGTACAACTTCACTTGACGTAAAAGCTCAATTTTAAGAATCTCAGTGATGAATCATTCGGGGGTCTTCCTTTTTTAATATTAATTCTTTAATTGGACGACTTTCCAAGGGACAATTTAAAACATAATAATTTTTTAAACGGTCAATCCATTTTAGAACAATTCTCTGGTCTTCGCAGCTTACTACATCGAAAGGGCTGGGTATTATGCATGTGTTACGAATTAGTTCATCCCAGCCCGAAGGAAGTTCAACCAGTGCTTTGTTATTAATCAAACCCATATTTCAATAGCATTTTATGTAGCTGTGTCATCGAAAATATTCCAAAAAAATCTAACTCATTTAGAATGTAGTGAAACAAAAGTTAGGTGACTTCGCCTGATCCTTTTTTTGCTGCTGTTTGTGAGTAGGTATAAAAAGTGCTTTACCAGTGGCTAATACATATATATTGAAGAGATAAAATGACAGCTTACGCTTCTAGTAAACATCATTTGTACTAATATTCGGAAATTACAAATTTTTAAGCTTGCGTACGAAACGTTATCTCTCATAAAAAGCATCCGCCGTTTTAAGATGAAGTTGGTTGTTCATATCTAATTCAGCTGAGTTACTGGCTTCTGCAAGTGCTACATGTATCACTTCGTGGATAATCAAAACTAATCTTGAAATTGTTTCCAAAAACAAATCGATAAGACTCATACGAAATTACTTTTTCTGGGTGAAAATCTTTAAACATGTTAACCATATTTTTTTACATTAAAATCGTCTGGTAGATAATAGAATTCAAGGAAATATCCTATAAGCTACAGAATCTGTAAGAAATAGTAATGTAATGTAATTTTTTACAGATTTTGGCTTACAAATCCTTTAGATTGTCTCAGAATCGATTAGACTTATATAGACTATAATGTGATTGCCTACCTTTAAATGGCTAAATGTGCATGTAAACTTTGTTTATCTTGACCAACGTGTCCATCTGTAACCAAACTTTTTTGAATGTTTTGAAGACGGTTTACAGAAATACTGTGCCTTGTAGCAAACAGGAATTTATTTTTTATCATTTTCTTGCTTAAAACTTAAGCTTAAAAACAAAAAGGTGTTTTAACAAGAGCATTTTAAGGAAATAAAGTATTTTTTTACCTTATATTTATAGGAGAAGGAGTAATAGTCTATAGCTTCCCTTTTTGATGCCATTTCACTAGCTGAAGAATGTAATAAGTCCACCCAAATAAAGACTTGTGTGACTTAAGTTTATTGAGCTGCTTAATAATCACCAAACTGTTCCTAACATCAAAAACTACAAAATATTTTAATTTTGAACAATTGCAACTATCACCAGTTTCATTTATTTTTTTGTGTGTGGCTGTAAATAATACCATTTTTTAAGGTTATGAGGCTATTGCATTATGGGGTTATGAGTTTATGGGGTTATAAGGTTAAGCATTTGGAGTTAATCAGCTTGACTTTTGTGTTTAAAGTTTGAATCACAGGCTTATATGCGTTAAAAAGTGCTGAAAAGCATCAATTATTGGGATTTTTGAGGTTATGTCAAAACCCTGACGTGATAGGGTAAAATGGACTGCGGATTCGAATTCAGCGACCCGAAAAACATATAGAAAACACGGTCTGATCCACAAACTGTGTGTTTTTTTAAATAATTATTTTA